AAAAAAAAAAAACCAGACCAACCTTACAAAAAATACTGAAAGGAGTTCTTTGGACAGAGAACCAACAACAGACAACCCCCTGAGATTAACACACATGTCAATATCACCTAGAACTCAACCCAGAAATAGAAGTATCCAAAGTAAAACTCAAAAATCTGAAACCAGGGAACCACAGATATCAGTGAGCAACAACAACAAAAACACTCAAACAAACAAAAATACAAAGGAAAATGAAGAAATAATGTAGTCACAGAATTTCCAAATGAAGAGGAAATTAAGTAGATTTCAAGAAAGTAAGTAAATAAAAATAAATCTAACTATAACCCTAAAATCACTCCAAATCCTACTCCTAACCCTAGTACTAGCCATAACCCTAACACTACCCGAAACTACAGACCTAGCCATAGTCCTAACTCTACACTCAACCTTTAGTCCTAGCCTGCTGCAAAAACAAACAAGTGCTGGTAAGGGAGCCGACAAATCACCAGAGCACTGGAGCGCTGCTGACAGAAATGTAAAACAGTGAGACGCGCGCGCTTTAGCAGTTCCTCGGTGCGAAGCGTTTGTTGTTGGTGTTAAGTGCTTAGGTTTTTAGATGCCGTGGAGTCGGTACCGACTCATAGTGACCCTACACAGGGTTTCCGAGGCTGTAAATCTTTACGGGCGCAGACCGCCTCATCTTTCTCCCGTGGAACCACTGGTAGTTTCGAACTGCTGACCTTGAGGCTCACAGCCCGATTCGTAACCACTACGCTACCAGAGCGCTGCTGACAGAAATGTAAAACAGTGAGGCGCGCGCGCTTTAGCAGTTCCTCGGTGCGAAGCGTTTGTTGTTGGTGTTAAGTGCTTAGGTTTTTAGATGCCGTGGAGTTGGTACCGACTCATAGCGACCCTGTACAGGGTTTCTGAGGCTGTACATCTTTACGGGAGCAGAAAGTCTCATCTTTCTCTCGCGGAACAGCTGAGTTGTCTATAGAAAATAAAGACAGCTGCCATTAAGTAGATTCTGACCCATGACCCTCACCCCCATGTGGCAGAGCAGATCTGTACCCAGAGGGTTTACCAAGCGACAAGCTTTTCAGAGCTGATTGTCAGACCTTTCTTTAGAAGCACATCTGGATGGGTTTGAACCACTAAACTTGTGGTTAGTAGTTGAGTGCTTAACAGTTCGTATTATCTAGGGATCCTGCAGACAACCGTATAACCCAGCAATTCCATCCCTAAGAATTATTCCCTAAAGAACTGAAAGCAGGGACTCAGAGAGCTGCATACCAATGTTCAATGCAGTATTATTCACAACAGCCAAACTAGAAATAACTCCAGTACCTATAAACAGATGAACAGATACATATATATGTGTGTGTATTATTCATGCAGACAAAGAAATGAAGTTTTAAGAATACAAGCTTCACCATGGATAAACCTTGGAAACATCACACTGTTGAATTGCTTCTGTTGGTAAGTGCCATCGAATCATTTCCGACACATAGCAACCCTGTATAGGGTTTCTGAGGAGCTGCTGGTGAGTCTGAACTGCCAACCTTGCAGCTGGCATTCTTGTGGTTAGCATTTCAGTGCTTCAGTGACACACCACACCCAGACTCCAGCTACGTGGGTACACAGCTAACTCCATATGAAGGAAGAGTGGGGGCTCTCTCAAACATATAAAGGCCTGACAAAGGTTATTTCTATATAGGCGTTTATCTTTGCTGCAAATATATTCATGAATGTGGTAAAATTCAGAAAAAGACTGGAGGAACTCAAGACTAGGCCCCTGGTCACCCTTCAGGTCTGGAACAGAACTTACCTTCTTCACTTAATTTTCAGCCAAGTGGTAGGTATGTAGAGAGGAGGGACAAGAACGCTAGTGAGGTATGCACACCAAGGCATGGCCAACCACTCAAGATCAAAAGGGGAGCATTCACCAAAGGGTACAATTTAAAAGGTGTGGGAAAGAAGGTGAAATGGAAACAAGAATGAAAGGGAGGAAGTGAGAAAACTGATGGTCTATGGAGAGCATTGCAATCACTGAAATTAAATAAAACATATGATTTGTTGAATGTAAACCTGATGATCTGTCCTGTAAACTTTCACTCAATTCACAAAAAAAACGAAAAAAAAAAGATGAACCTGGAGTTTAGGCTGAAGGGATGATATGTACCCCACTGGGGACTTATCCAGTAATTCCTATTTTGTTCAATATTTTTGTGAAAAAGGATTTTGGATTTTGTTAAGTACCTTTCCAGTTAACTACAGAAATGATGGAAGGATTTTTCGTCATGATAAGACTAACTATATGAATAGTTTTCCACTATTAAGTCATTTTCCATTTCTGGGATAAATTTTACTTGGTCATGGCAATTTTTGTTATGTGTTGTTACACTGACTTCATAAGAAGAAACTGGAAATTTTTCCTATTTTCTTACACTAAGTTTTCATAGCCTTTGAGTTTACCCATTTTTAAAGGTTTAGAAGAATTTTCTTATAAAACTGAAGTGGTACTTTCAATTTGAGGAGGAGGGCTACTTGTTTGGTGGTCTTTTGTTGTTTTTACCATTTCCACTTCCCCTACGTAAAATGACTACTACTTTCAAATGTTTTGCATTTGCTTCTCTGCTTATTCTATTTCTTAACTATTTTCTAATCTTATACGAACCTATTCCTTCTACTTTCCTTTAGCTCATTCTGTTTTGTTTTTTAACTTCCAGCCAGAAGTTTAACCGATTTTCACTTTTCACTGATACTCATCACTCCAGCCATGAGTTTCCTTCTGAACACTGGTTTACATTATGCCACATGTTCTGATATACTGTTGTTGATGTAAGTGCCATCAAGTAGGTTCTAACTCATAGCACCCTGTAAAAGGGCTTTTTCCAAGGAGCAAGCTTGCAGGTTTGAACTGCCGACCTTGTGGTTCACAGTCCAGTGCTGATCCTATAGTGCCACCCCAGAAGTCCATTCTGATATATTAGGAATTTTTCATTTCTATGTCTCCTAGGACTGTTGCTGATGTTTGTTATTAAATGCCATCAAGTCAGTTCTAACTCACAGCAACCCTATAGAGTTTCTGAGGAGAAACTTGTGGGTTTGAACTGCCGAACTTGCAGTGCTTATCCTACATGCCACATGAGGGCTACGATCACTGGAGATTCTTAGAAGTTATCATTCATTTCTAGGTGGAAGAAACTTCTATTTTCTGATCCCATTATTAATTTCTAACTTTATTGCACTGAGAGCAGATATTACAGCTTTTCAGAATTTTATTTTATTTCTACTTTTTAGAATTACTGAGTCTTTTTTTTTTTTTTTAATTGTATACCATGTTTTCAATTTCTAAGACTCTTGAGAAGTTGTATTACCCACAGCACAGAGCATAGAACCTTAATAGTACTCCTAGTGAAAACTGGTTTAAGTTCTACATTTTACTGATTTTCAAGTGGTTCACTTGACCTGTCTTGGACTGAGACACATTCTCTGTTTTCCCAAGTCAAGGGCTCACCTTTGATCCCTGCCCCATGAGTTTCAATCCCTTATACTTTTCCCTTTTCGAAATGACAAAATGTTATTATTTAAACTATCCTGTGTATGTCCACGACGCCATAATCTCTACGTTCTTACATCTGAGCTCCAATCCCCCACTTCCAAGTACCCAAAACAACTGTACTTCATTTCTTGCCCAGATTCAATCTCACATAAAATCAAATCCATCTTCTTCCTAGGTTGAAACCTCATCCTCAACCATGTGAAAGTTCTTAACAGCTAGAGTGAATCTAAATGGATTGTCTTACAAACAGATGGAGAGTTCATGAAGGGCAAGAATGGGGCATTATGCATTTTTGTAACCCCTTGACCCACACCAGTCTGAACAATTAATCAAAGCAGCTTTTGAGAAATGTTTATGAATGACTTTTAAGCCTAAACCAGGAGTTTTCAGGGTACTTGAAGAAAGGTGGTGAGGACTGGGTCTCAAAGCCCAAAGGTACAAGGTCAAACGTTCCTGGAACTGGACAACCTACACACTAACCAGTCATCCCAAGTCAGTGCTAGCTTTCCCCAAGACTCATGAAAAGTCCAAGGCAACGGAACTGGTCTTTTTCCACTTTTCCAGTATTCTATAAAGTAAAGAAAACACCATCTAGTACAGTTATGTCCCACCCCTTCTAAGAACTATGTCGGTCTTGGAGGAAGTCCAGGCAGAAAGCTCCTTACAAGCGAGGATGGTGAGACATTGTCCCACGTACTCTGGACATGTCATCTAGAAGAATCAGTCCCTAGGGAAGGACATCATGCTTGGTAAAGCAGAGGGTCAGTGACAAAGAGGAAGACCCTCAGCAAGATGGATTGACACAGACATTGCAACAATGAGCACAAATGTACTCATAGCACTGTCTGTGTGCATGGTGCATGAGGCAAGAGCACACTCATTGTACAGAAGGCCACTACGTGTCAGCACCAACTCAACAGTACTTCCACACGCGTGTACCCCACCTCATAACTACATGGTAAAATACAGAGTACAAAAGTCATTGCAGACTACGGTCACCTCAGACAAGTCTCAAACCCTGTTGTCTGCTCCACTCAGCCTCAGGAGCCAAACAGTAATGATAGGAAAGTAAAACAAATCGGGCACGCAGCAAATACAACGTTAAGAGTTCCTGCCTGTACAGTAGCAGCACGACCCTAAGGAAACACTGCAGCATCTCTAAGCAGCTGGCAGAAAAGCTGCTGCTGCCAGCGAAGTTTCAGATGGATCAGACGGGACACTTGGCAGCCATTATTCACAAGGACAAATAGAGAAAACCCCTGTCCCCCAAAATATGTGTCAATTTGTCTAGGCCATGGCAGTTATACACTGACATAATCGGTCAGTTATATAATGATATCATCACCCCGCAAGGACAGGATCAAACAATCAGGTCCCAGCCCTGACCTGATGTAAGGGAAGTGTCCCTGGGGTGCCACCTGTATTACCTTTCATCTTACAAGAGATGAGAGAAGCAAGTGGAGAGGAGGGGGCCTTCGACTAGCTCCTTTGGAGCCAGGGTCCCTGCACAGAGAACCTCCTAGAGCCAGGAAGACTGATACCAAGACACAGGGAGATCTCCACCGATGTGGAAAGGCAGCAAGGACCTTCCCCTAGAGCTGGTGCCCTGAATTCAGCCTTCCAGCCTTCTAACCTGTGAGAGGACCAATATGTTTGCTAAAGCCAGACCTTGGGGTATCCCTGCCATCACAGCGTTAAATGACGAAGACAGACCCAGTCACCAGCCATTCAAGAAATTCACTCACAGAAGGTAATAGAAAAAATAATAATAAATAGAACTGTAGCAAGGAGGCAGAGTAGCTATGGGCTAAGTCTGAGAGCTCTGAGGTCCCTGGTCACTATTTTTTGCTACATGACCTTTAGCAAATTTCTTAACCTCTCTCTGCTTCAGTTGCCTGCTCTGTAGAATAGTAATAATTCCTAAAGCCCACAGCACTATGAGAATGACATGAGATAATAACTGCATGTAAAATATTTACACTAGTGTTTATTGTCGTTAGTGCTGTTAAGGGTCATCGAGTCGGTTCAAACTCATAGCAACCCTGTAAATGGTTTCTGAGAGCACTGAGGTTTGAACTGCTGACTTTCTGGTTAGCAGTCCAGTACTTATCCTACAGTGCCACACAAGGGCATGTAAATAGCACAGCCAAGTGTGTAGTAAGTATTGGATATTGTTTGCATCAACAGGATACATATACACGTATGCTAGCAGGTTTCAAAATTAGTGAGCATAAAATGAAAGGACTAAAAGAGTTAGTTACCTAGCCAATGAAAAAACTAACATTTACCTGTTTGGAAAATAGCACTGGATCCAGAAAATGGTTTCAGAAACTATGCCCACACTGTCCATCTGTTTGAATGTTAGATCTTCTCAGACCAGCCATCAGTTAGTACATTTGCTTAGCTATTTCAGTTAGCATATCAGACAGTATCACATCAACTAGTAGTACTGCTTACCAAGAGGCATCTCCTCTCCTCTCTCTCTCCAGATGTAGGAAAAATGGCTACCCACATCTGGGTCACGCTGCATCACATGAGGTAAAACGTGTGTATGTGCATGTGTGCACACGTATACATATGTACTTAGCAGGTATGAGCAGAGCCTCAAAAACTCAAGGATAAAGGCGAGGGACACGTATTTCCCGGAGCATACAATCTGAACACAGAGCAGTGATTTCTTACCTAGCAGCAGCATCTCCCCAACACCACAGTCTTCACTCTCTGAGGTGGGCTGTTGAGAAGGACCCTGGCTCACACATTCTTCTTGGGAGTGAAATACATTCAAATCCTGGAAGACAACCAGCTCCTGAAAAAGCAACAGGGCCCCCACTCCCCGGAGTCACTAAGGTTCCTGGAGAGCCGTAATGGTTACAAAAGACTAGGACACAACAACGAAGGGAAAAGGTAGACTGGGGGGGTGGGGAGTGGGTAGGGAGAGCGCTGTACAAATTCCATCCACACGCCGTCCACACAGGACAACACCAGACACAGAATAGAGCCATAGAGGTTGGGGGAGCAGAAGAAAACGGCCAAGGCAGCTGTGGCGAACAGGCCCATTCTCCTTCCTGACTCCGCAAATGTGCACTACAGGCTGGCTGCGTCATCAGGCAGCAAGAACAGATACAAGTGGCACACTCAGACAGGAAATGGGGCGAGCGAGCCTACCTCCGGCTCAGCTTTCACACACAGCAATGCTGTGTCCTGTTTACGCTGGCCTCCTTCTCTGGGCAAGAGCTTCAGTAACGTACAAGGTTGCACTGGGGAAAAAGGAAGTGGTAGTTAGTGGAAAATCAGTGGCTCTAATACAGTGACTGTACCCATACCCTGTAGCCTGACTGTCCTCATTCCTCTGCATGCAACAGAGGCCCCCGTCTATTCCCATGTCCAGAGGTCAAGTCATAAACCCCAAGTTCTCGAACCCACATGGGGTTTCCGTAATATGAAAAGAATGACTCTTTGAGTCACCTTTCAAATTTTCCCACAAAGGTGCTCTTAAAGGGGAGCTTCCCAAACTAATAAACCAAGCCTTATGCCATCAAGTCAATTCCAACTCACAGCGATCTAGAGGGCGGAGCAAAACTTACTCCGTAAGGGTGCTGAAGGCAGAAAAGTTTACAGAGTCTCATCTCTCTCCTGAAGATCAGCTGGTAGAGCTGAACCACTGACCTTGTGTTTAGCAGTCCCACACTTAACCCACTGTATCAGGGATCCTTAAGAGGCTAGAGGTGGAAAAATCTGAAGATACCCGCAACAGGCATGTCTGAAATTCCCATAAAATGGAGTAAATGTGGTAATTCACAGTATTCTTTACCCTAAAAAGATTTGATACCAGAATGTTTGAATAAAATGGGTAACACTTAAAGATAGTCAAAACTCCTGCCACTGACTTGATTCTAACTCACAGCGGCCCTACTAGGGTTTCCAAGACTGTGCATCTCTATTTAGGAGCACACAGTCTTAATTTTCTCCCATGGAGTTCTGGTGGGTTTGAACCATTGCCCTTGAGGTTAGCAGTCCAGTGCTTATCTTATGGTGCCACACCAGTACTTCCAGCACATACTGTTGTTACCGTTAAGTGTCGTCAAATTGGTTCGGACTCAGTGACCCTGTACAGGGTTTCCAAGGAGTAGCTGATGAGTTTGAACCACCAACCTTGCAGTTAGCAGTCCAGAGCCTTTCCTACAGTGCCACCAGGCCTCACCTGATTGTAGTGTGGTTTTCCATAACCAGTACACCACTGTCGGCTCCAACTTAAGCACATGCTTTCTCTCCCCAACATGACGCTGTAATAGAATTAACTCCTTGTTCAATACCTGCCATCCTACCTCAGTCCCCAGTACTGCCCCTTGGAGTCCAGAGAAACAACACTGCTTCTCACCTCTACTGGGAAGGCTTGCGTTCACATTCTTCATAATGACCAAGGTCTCCTTGGCTCTCTGACTGGGCTGCACCCCAGATGACTTGGGCAAGAACGAGAGGAAGTGTTCCAGCACCAGTTGGTGGATGGTTTTGGGCCCACTCGTGGCATCTCGAAGCAGGTCTTGGCCCAGTTTGGAATCTGGAGGAACTCTCAGTACAAATGACTGCTTTGAATTTGAGGGCATGGGGACCACTTTTGCAGCCATTGCGCTTTGTAACCACACTTGTTTCTACAAGGCTTCAAGAACCACTTCTTACTGAAGTAAATGTGCCAGACAATCAATCTGCAGACAAGAGAAACCATGGGTTAGCCACCAGGGAAACCATGGGTTAGCCACCAGGCGTGGCACGGCATGACAACACCGCATTAGGTGACTTGCATAGTGAGACCACTCAACAGCTCCATCAGAGGCGGGATCGGGGGGAGGGAAACCGTAACTGGAATCTAAGTTCTCAGAACAAAATGCTCTTAAAAGCGATTCTGATAACGGAAGCCAGAAGGTGCCTAACTGAAGGGAAAGCAGGCAGCCGGCTAAGGGCCACCTTCCTGGGAAATCGGAAGTGCACACAGCACCGAGAAGAGCAGTTGTTGTCTCTAGAAAATGCAATGACTAGAACACAGAAAATCTACAAAAGCACCTGCTTAGAAGGCGGGTTGGCCACGGAATCTAGTCACATGGTGCCCCTGGGGTCTCCGCTCCCAGGCGTGCCCTGCCCGGTTGACGACTCTCCAAGGGAGCAAACACGAAGGTCGCCTAAAGTGCTCACACCCTGCTTGGTGACGCCTCAGAGCCGTCAAAAAACAGCTGGGAGCGGCAGGGGGTGTCATACTAGGAACCCAACGACAATGAGCACCTTTATCACAAAACTCAATATTGACATCGCTTGGGACACAGACACGGCTCCCTATCCGGCCTGTCTCCCCTTGCAATGGACTCCAAAGGTCCTCTCTCCCTGGCTACCGCTCTCACAGAGCCCCCTCACCTCTCGGAACCTCTGTAGCCGCTGGGCGCTCCTTGGGGGACAGCCAAGAAACCCAGGCCGGGGAGAGACCAGGAAACTAGGCACGAGAGGTTCAGCCCTACCCTCGCCCTTCGGCGTGTCCTCACAGGAAACTATTGGTGCGCGCCGCCGTCAGTTGAGCGGGACGAGGAGGACCCGGTGTCTTCTGGGAAATCGGACGCCTCACTGCTGTGACGTCACGCCCGGTACCGCGTTTCCGGTGCGGAAGCCTGGTCTCCCCGCTCGGAGCGAGACATCAGCGTTTGAGAAACCGCGGTTTGAGGCCAGCAGAGGGAGCTAGCAAGGCCGTGGGGTGACCTGGCGAGCGGTAGCCACCCTCTCTGTGACTTTCCATAGTAGACAGAAAGCAGGAGGCTGGCTCCAGTCCTCCATGACGGGCTGGCACCACTCCAGGAGCGGATAAATTCCCTCTCGGTCTGCTGGGAAATGTAGTGTGGCTATTCACAGCCAATAGGAGACCTCCAGGCGCTGCAGTTGGGGCGGGGCAGAACCGAGGCTGGACCGGAAGCGGGCCATCACTGGGACCGGAAGATCTGCGCAAGGCTTCCGCAATTTCCGCCTCCACATCCGGGGTGAGTCAAAGACCTCGGCGGCGGAAAGGACGAAGTGATGTAGGTCGCCGCCCTGATCTGGGCTGTCTCCGGGGTGGGCGGCCGGTATATCATAGCTCGGCTACGTTTCTCCTGGCCTGCTTGATTGCTTCTACTCTGCTGTCTGGCCTGGCCTTCTCTTCTAAAAGAGCCTACTCATCTTTCTGTTCTCCTCATCCGTTGCCAATTTCATTCTCCTACTGAGATGTCCTGGTGTGGCGTCAGACTGCAAAGCCGTTTGAACTGTAAGGTCGGAGGTTCAAGCTCACTAGCTTCTCGGAAACCCTATGCAGGGTCGCTATGGGTCGGAATCGACTCGACAGCACTTAACAACAACAACTGAGACATAAGAGCGTATTTCCTTCTGGGGTATTCCCAAACAAGCTTTCTTCATCAGGGAAGCATTGTTGATGGTTGGAAAACCCTGAGATCGGGAACTTTCTTATCCATCATGCAACGCCAGCCTCAAGCATGCAGGACAAAAGTAAAAACGAACGCCTTTACTTAACCCCTACAGTAGCAAACAAATGTAACGGTCAGTTATTTTATGGACTAGTATCTAAACTCATGGAGAAATTTTTGAAAAATCGTGACATCAAAGTTTGCTAAAAACATTTTGCCAAAACAGTTTGAACTAAAAACCAAACATGACAGCGGCATGTAGAGTGCGGCTCTGTATGTCAGAGTAAAACTCTGCTCCATAGGGTTCTGCTCTGGCTGATTGTTAGGAAGTAGACGCCCAGGCCTTCTTACGCACTTCTGGGTAGACTCAACTTTTTGGTTAGGAGGCACATTGACAGTTTGCACCACTGGGGACTCCATGGATTGGACTTGTAGTCAGGTGTTGTCAGTTAATTCCAACTCAGCGATCGCGTGTAACAGAAGAACTGTCTCGTGAGGTTTCTTGCCTGTAATCCTTATGGGAGCATATCTCTGAGTCCTGATGTGGCGCTACAGGATAATGCACTGGACCGCTAGGTCGGTTTGAACGTCAAGGTGTGCGCACCAGCCGCTCCTCAGAAACCCTACACGGGGTCAGTATCAGTCTGAACCTACCTGACAGCAGCATCTGTAGGTCCTTCTCCCACAAAGCCACTGGTTGGGTTCGAATCACATAACTTTTTAGTTAGCAGCCAAGAACGTAACTGTTATGCCACCAAGATTCCTATGTTGATGTTAGGTGGCATCGAATCAGTTCTGACCCATAGTGACCCTACGGACATCAGAACGAAGCACTGCCCAGTCCTGTGCCACCCTCACAATTGCTGCTATACTTGAGCCCATTGCTGCTGCCACTGTGCCAATCTAACTCAGTGGGGGGTCTTCCTCTTTTTCGCTCTCCCTCCACTTTATGAAGCATGATATCCATCACCAGGAACTGGTCTCTCCTGATACTATGTCCTAAGTATGAGAGATGAAGTCTGGCCATCTTGACTCCCAAGGTACATTCTGGTTGTACTTCTTCCAACACAGATTTGTTTGTTCTTCTAGCAGTCCAGGTTGTTGTTGTTGTTATGTGCCGTGGAGTTGGTTCTGATTCACAGCAACCCTGTACAGGGTTTCTGAGGCTGTAAGTCTACGGGAGCAGAAGGCCTCATCTTTCTCCCGTGAACAGCTGGTAATTTTGATCTGCTGACCTTTTGGTTCGCAGCCCAATTCGTAACTACTACACTACCAGAGCTCCTTAGTAGCTTTAATATTCTCTTCTAACACCTAACTCAAATGTATCAATTCTTCTGAGCTCTTCCTTATTTATTGTACAACTTTCATATGCCTATGAGATTATTAAAAATAACATGGCTTGGTTCAGGTTCACTTTAGTCCTCAAACTGACATCTTTGTTCTTGAACGCTTTAAAGATGTCTTATATAGCAGATTTGCCCAATGCAATACGTTTTTCATTTCTTGATTACTGCTTCCATGAGTGTATTTATCATGATGTTATTTATTGGTCCAGTGGTGAGGATTTTTGTTTTCTTTATATTGAGATGTAGATTCCTATTGTTGTTGTTGTTAAGTGCCGTCAAGTCAATTCCAACACATAGCGACCCTGTATAGGGTTTCCGAGGAGCAACTGGTGAGCTTAAACCTCCAACCTTGCAGTTCAAACAGCTTTGCAGTCTGGCACATTAACTAAAAAGTACACAAACTGATCAATAGCAAAAATGACAAGTACAAAATTGACCTAATTAAATGTGAACCTATATTGAGCCTTGGTGTGACGCTGTAGAATAAGCATTGGACTGCTAACTGCAAGGTTGGTGATTGAAAACCACCAGCTGTTCCTTGTAAACCCTATACAGAGTCTCTATGAGTCGAAACTGACTCAACAGCGCTGGACAACAAGAATATATGAAAGAATAACATTTCAATTTAGTACCAAGTAGATGGCACTAGCAAAAATTCTCTATTCTAGGTGACAAAAAGGCTATTTTCCTTATACTACATGTAAAAAGGAAATTAAGAAACGGAAAACATTAAGTTTAACATTGAGGCAACACAGGAAATTGAGATACCTTAAAATAAAATCTAAACCATGTGAATACATTAAAAAAATTTTAACAGTTTGAACAAAGTCAAACAAATAATAGACTAGAAAATAATTTTAAAACATAAAACAGATAATTCAATATTCCCTATGTAAAGAGTTCCTATCAGCTAATAAACAGCCATTCTACAGACTAGGCAAATTAGATAGTCATTCAAATGTGAAAAAGGAGCTCTGGTAGCGAAGTGATTAGCGGGCTGCTAATCTCATGGTCAGCAGTTCGAAACTACCAGCTCTTCTGTGGGAGAAAGATGAGGCTTTCTGCTCCCATAAAGATTTACAGCCTCGGAAACCCTGTAGAGGGTCGCTATGAGTCAAAACCGACTCCACGGCACATAACAACAAAAATGTGAAAAGGTGTGTAACCACACTGTTAGTCAAGATTGCCACATTAAAAAGGAATGTCTTTTTTTTTTAATCTGTCAAGCAATGAAGGTGAGAAAATACGCACGCTCATTGTTGCCCAAGTGTGACGTGTATTCAAAGTACATGTGTACTTTGATCTCACACTCTCACCTGGGAATCTGTTGTTGTTTGGTGCTGTCAAGCCAATTCCCACTCATAGCAACCTTGAGAACAGCCGGATGGACTCCAGGTCCTGTGCATCCTCAACAATCACTGATGTGTTTGAACCCATTGTTGCGGTCACGGTGTCAGTTCCTCTTTGTTACTGAGTCTTTGCCCTAGCATGAGACCCTTCTCCATGGACTGCTCCCTCCTGAGAACATCCAAAGTGCCATGGATTGAATTGTGTTTCTACAAAATCTGTATCAGCTTGGCTGGACCAGGATTTTCTGGTGTGATAGTACTACAGTGACCAATTGTGGCAGTTATGTGATGATCCTCCTTGATGTGACCTGATATGGTAAATTGCGGTGGTGGTGGTGGTGGTATTGTGCCGTGGACTTGGTTCAGACTCAGCGACCCTGTATAGGGTTGCCGAGATGGTAAATCTTTACAGGAGCGGAAAGCCTCATCTTTCTCATGTGGTGCTGCTGGTAGTGTAAACTGCTGATTGTGAGATTAGCAAGCCACCTTGTAACCA